TTGTGGATAGGAGACACAGAGCCTCAGTCATTATGACCTGTGGTCTAGGTGGAATGCTACCAGGAGAGTTCATACTGGATACTGAGTTAAAGCGTTACTTGGGGACATGGAACTTGTCTTTCGGGAGTGTCTTAGTCCAGTGGGGGACGACAACACAAGTATTATAAGATATCCTTTATTTGTCCCACACTGGGGAAATTTACAGTCTACGGCAGCAAGATAATGGGTAGAAGAAGAAAGAAGAAAAGAAAACAAACACCGTTCAATTAAGTGCAATATAAATACAGATATGGATAAGGTCGCAGTGCTATTTACAATTGTCTTCCACATCATGTTTTTTTTTATTCAGCAGCCTGACAGCAGTCGGTAGGAACGAGCGGCGGTATCTCTCCTTCTTGCAGCACGGGTGTAACAGTCTCTGGCTGAAGGAGCTACCTATTGCTGTCAGGGCGGGCTGGAGGGAGTGGGAGGGACTTTCCATCATAGCTTTTAGCTTAGTTAGCATCCTCCCGTTATCTGCTCTGGTTTGGGTGTTTAATGAGTTGTTCTTCTAAAGCCCAGTGCTTGAAAATGTTTGCGAGAACGGCAGTCTCGATTCTTTTTCCCTATTCTGTTCGGGCAAAAAGTATTTGGAGTTTTTATGAGTTGACTGGGGAAGCATACTGACTAAGTGACTAGCATGTGTGCCCCACAGTTCTGAGATTCAAGGGTCAAAATCTCAATTCGGGCCTTCCTTTGTGGCATTTTCATGCTCTCCCCATGTTCTGTGGGTTTTGTCCGGGTACTCCGGTTTCCTCCCATGTTCCAAAAAAATGTATGTTAGGTTAACTGAAAACTCAAAATCGAGCATTAGTATGACTGGCTGTTTGTTTATATGTGCTCTGCTAATGACTGGCAACCAGTTCAGGGGGTAGATAACACATATTTTGCACATTCCTTTCAACAATCTGTATTTGTATCCATCGATGGAACTCTTGAAGCACAATCAGCAAAAACTGCAGTCATACCCTGAAATGCGCAAGGTTAATGGAAACGCTGAATTAACTTGTCATTATTTGAATGTATGCCCATATAGCTTTTTTTGTGCTATCCACTAATTTATGGCACATTGTGTGTACATAACCATCTGATAATCAAGGCCCTAATCAAACCATGAGTTGGAAACACTAACCCAGTGTGTGTTTGCTTGTCATTCAGAGTCTCTGGGTGTGAGTTTCCATCGGGACTCATCTGGGCTAGGTTACTGCTGCTGAGATTTAGTTGCCCCTGGATACGCTCCCGCCTGCCTGCATGCATGTGTTGTGAAGCTTCTTAAGCAGGGCTTCAGGCCACCCCGGGGGAGAAGGTTTTCGTCTGAATTTAAGATTTTGACGTGACCAGTCCAAAAGAAGGAAAAAAAAATAGTTGTGACTGTTCGACAGCGTAACCATTTTTTAATTAAAAAAAAATACATGACTGAATTACTTCTAAAGCATGACTTAAATCTATTACAGTGTCCAAAGAAAATGGTGCTAATTTGAAAATCCTGCCCTCACGGATAGATTCCACTTTTCTATACTGTACAGCGTTGAGCACAGCCTTGACATTGTACTGACGAGACACAAAAGTAGCTCCCTCAATCATTAAGAGAGCCAAGGGAAAAGTGTTTAAAAGAAACAAAACCTCACAGTGCGGTTTTGTTGTTTGCTTCAATGGGCAATTTGCTTTGTTGATGGCTTAAGAAAGTGGATCTTTTATACATGCATTAAGAAAAGTATTCTGAAAAATATTATCGATATTAAGAGCACGTTTTTTGCATGCATGCACATATTTTGTCCATATTTAAAAAGGTATTTCAGTCATACATCTGATTAGGTCGTGCCCGGCCCCCCAGTAGCTGATGAAAAATGGTGGCCCCCACCAGCATTAAATTGCCCATCCCTGACATACAGTATAGGCACAAGCACGCCAGTCTGTTAGTCAGTAGCATCATCACTCCGAATTAGCGATAAAGATTAGAAAAAGTGGCAAAATAACGGCAATATTTGTCTAATACGTTGTAGCACACGCTTCGTAAAAGCCAGTGACATTACACGAGCCTAAGCTTATAATGACCTTGCTTTTTATAGGCTGGTTGGAGTGCTATAATCTGATTTAGAATAATCTCCTACAATCTGTGATAAATGCTTACTGCATGTATCTGAGAAGAGGAGAGAGAGGTCAGTTGGACTACGTTGAGCCATTACTGACATCTGCTGTTCACATGTACAAATCATAGGAGCGCTTGGTTGTTCTGGCTTTGTGGTAAACAAAGGCTTTCATTGGGGCGCCATACTATTTAGGTTTTAGATTGGGAACTACCTGCTAAATTCTAATAGGTCACATGAAATATGAACTATGCAATCTTCTTTATTGTATTGGCAGATTGTATTTTAAAAAGGAGAGACAAATATCCACGATCCATCCATTTTCTGATCCGCTTCTCCTCACAAGGGCCGCGGGGCGTGCTGGGGTACTATCCCAGCTGTCTTCGGGCAGGAGGCGGGGGACACCCTGAACTGGTTACCAGTCAATCACAGGGCGCACATAGACGAACAACCATCCGGGCTCACACCCACACCAAGGGACAATTTAGAGCAAGGGTGTCCACACTCGGTCCTCAAGGGCTGCTGTCCTGCCTGTTTTTCAGCTCTCCCAGGAGCAACACATCGGATTTTTGAATAATCAGGAACCCTAACCTTAAATTAATGCAACGGCCAGTGCTGGTGTATATCGCCTCACGCAAATAAGCATTTACAGCACTGCTTGAGGAGCATCCATGTACAGTAAATGACACTGCACAACACAATGTACACAATAATAGTGTCAATTCCTTGAAAATGAGTTTTGCTACCAGCTATTTTAAATGGTATTTTTCCTCTGGATAGTTGTGTTTTTCTTGTCTGCATTTCATATTTTTCCTGATTGTTTTGGTGAAAAAAACATCAGCAGTTATCGATATCGCGTGATCTGTCATTTCTATATCGTGGTACACCTTTCAGCTCTATTGCCCAGCACTACTTGAGGTAATTGCCCTTTTTAAAGTCTCTTTTGCACCCAAGCTTTAACTTCCCAGCTTACGTCTTGAGATGTTGCTTCAGAATTTCGACATAACGTTCTTTCCTCATGATGCCATCTATTTTGTTAAGTGCATCATTCCCTCCTGCAGCAGAACATCATGATGCTGGCACCCCCATTTTATGGTTGGGATGGTGTTCTCAGGCTTGCGGTCTTCCCTTTTTTTTTTTCCTCCAACGCAGTAATGCTCATTATGGGGCCAAATGATTCAATTTTAGTTTCGTCAGGTACATTTCGGACCAAAACACATTCATTTTTGCGACACAGAACCTTCCTAAGTGGCCAAGTGGTGAGGACCGTAGCCTGCCACCATGGGGAACCTGTTTCAAGACCATTCCCCCCCCCCCCCGCCCACCCCCCTTGACACAAAGCTGAAGTCCAAGACACAGATACCCTAGTAATGGTAATGGTTATGGTAAATGGGCTGTCACTTGTCTGACACTTTTCTACTTTGAGTACACAGCACCAGGAGCAACCGAGGGGGGTGCTCAGTATCTTGCTCAAGGACACTTCGACATGGTCACAATGGCCGGGGATCAGACCACCAACCTCTGGGTTGGGAAACGACCACTGTACCACTGAGCCCGCTAGACTACAGTCTGCGTCACATTTTATGTACATGTGTGCACATGACAAATAACAAGAATTCTTCCACGTATAAATGTTTGAACGGAAGAACGTGGCACCTTCAAGCATCCGGAAATTGCAGCCAAGGATGCCACTTGGAAAAACTACTTTAATAACATATTGGAACAATATAAAAAAGTAATACATAGGGCACATGGAAAGTTCTCAGTACTGTGATTAAATAGGCAAGGGGAAAATCTGGAAAGATCACCTGTCACTGGCAGGACTGATTCAGTCCAACTGACATATATAAAAGAAATCATACGCTGATGGACAATCTAAAGTCTTCAATGAACCAAGGATACAACTTTTGTTTTGGTATTGCACTGCATACAGAAAGTGCCATGAAGAAATGCCAAAGCATACTCAAGAGTCGAACCTGCCATTTTTTTTTTTGGGTTGCAAGGCACAGTCTTCAGCACTCAATCACCGTGCTGTTGTAACAATTTCCTTTACCGTTGAAAAGGAAGGCAGTTTAGAGGCAGCTTTACAGATGTCTTGTATTGCTCAGTAAAACAAAATGCAACAAGCGTTGAGTCACCTTATTACCTCAGACAAGTTTTCCGGAATAAAGATGAGTACTACAGAGAGTACTTAACTGATTTCCAAGAAGCCATTACCGGGTACAAAGGAATTGCATACACTTATCATTCAGTTTAATGCAGATGTCGATAAAGGTAGGGAGTTAAGGAATCTCTTGCACAATTGGAAAACATTGTGAGGTTTACCTGTCCGTAAATAATGCATGGTCATTTTGGTCATATAGTCCGATAAATAATTATAAATAATAATAATAATAATAAGGGCGGCATGTGGTCGACTGGTTACCCGTCAGCCTCACAGTGCAGAAGGTCGGATTCCGTCTCCAGCCTTCCTGTATGGTTTGTATGTTCTCCCCATCCTGCGTGGGTTTTCTCCGGGTATTCCGATTTACTCCCAGATTCCAAAAACATGCATGGCAGGTTAATGGAACACTCTAAATTGTCCGTGAGTGTGAGCGCGAATGGTTGTTCATCTACGTTTGCCCTACGACTGCCTGGCAAGCAATCAGTGTACCCCGCCTACTGCCTGATGACGGCTGGGATAGGCTCCAGCACATCCGGGGATTGGAAAATGGATGGATGGATGGATGGATAATAATCATAGCAATGTGTGATGTTTCCTGTTACTAAGTTGTTCGGAAAGTAGTACTCAACAACCACTTCATGAGGTACACCTACATTACATGATTGCAATAGAAGAGCTGCTTCAACATTTACAAAGATAATAAAACACAGTTTCTGTTCAAATGTTTATTTTGGTTGTAGTCTACAATGTGGAGGATACCACCACATTACATTGAGATTTTTTTTCGAATTTTAGTATTATCTACATGAGTTGGGCAAAACATTGTGGTTTCTAATTGTTCTGTCTCGCTCTCAAATACAGCACTATTTTTTCGAAAAAGAATCCACGAAAAAAGGAATCAGTCGACATGAGTGGAGACCAAAGCCATGAGGGTGACGCTGTACACCCTCGTTTCATCACCTTTTAACGTGAGAGGGGCACACGTCTGTACCACTTCATTGGGCTGAAACACAAATCATTTACATCATTGCTACACAATTTCACCAAGTGTGCAGAAAATATTTGGAATTGTATTAAAGTGCAACATCACTTGCTGTTGCATGACTGGTTGCTCTTTAAAACGTGTATCCTTTTGTAGCCACCCGCCCCAGCCCCTTTTTGTTTTTTTTTTTTGGTAAGGCAATTCCAAAGCAAAAAGTGCTCCTCACCTTGTGTCCACTCTGTGGGATCCACGTGAGCTTGATGGTGCGTCTGTTGCCTGCTTCTACGTTGCCTTTGCTGGGCTCCACATTGAAACCCTTTTGCTGCAGAGATGCCATGTTGTCCCAGTTAAAGTCATTCCCCTGAATGGGTTGGTCCAAACAAAGCAGTCAGGATGCAAGCAATGTATTGGCTTACATTACGTACACAATTATTTAACCATTGAAAGCATCCGACACTTGAATGCATCAATGCCTTAATGCTGCTCCATCAAGCTAATAAGACACATTTACAACTACGGTAGGGCAATTACAACAGAGATGAAACTGTAAGCACCCTTTAAAACAGGAGTCTTCTTTGTTTAAAAGTTTCATATCTGCCTCAGCACCTTCTTACTGGCCCGTATGCAGCCGACTTGCAGCTTTCTGACGGCAGGTCTGATGGTCCCCATGCTGTAGCTGGCTCGCAGGGTGACCAGCACTTGGATTTCCATCTCATCTGACTGTCCTGGTGGGGAAGAGTATAAAATGTTAACTCAGTCCCCCCAAACCCTCCATTTCAAAGAGACCATCTTCCATCCATCCATTTTTCCAATCCGCTTATATTCACGAGGGTCGCGGGCATGTTGGAGCCGATCCCAGCCGTCATTGGGCAGTAGGTGGCGTATAAGCTGAACTGGGCACACATAGATGAACAACCATTCGGACTCACAGTCACACCTAGGGACAATTTAGAGTTTTCCGGGAGTTGAGGCACCAATCACAAACAATCCAGTCACCATAAAAAAAAAAAAAAGAGTCTTGTGTTGTAAAATTTTTTTTTTGGGGGGGGGGGGGGTGATATTTGATACGTCCTGTGCGCATTATGTTGCTTAGCAAATAAACTCAATTTGCACCATCTCCCAAGCGTTACGTTATGAACATGGTATTCAGATTAAATTGCTTGTATTGGATTTATGAAAAAGTAGGGCTGGGTGATATATTGTTTCCGTATCAAAAATGAGATATGAATATTCAAGACAAATGATAATAAAAATGGGTGGAGATAAAGGCATAGTGTAAATGTTGTTTGGCGGAATTTTGCTACTTTGCCACATAAAGAGTTAAGTGCAAACAGGTGAATATGCCCCTGAATGTAGAGTACAACTACTGGCTTAGAAAAGCAGAGATGAAGGCAGAAGATGATGTACCTGTGAGCTGAGTCTGACTAGTTATTAGTGGAGGAAGAAGGGATTCAATCGGAACTGTCAGTGGCTCCCCTCCAAGCAGATACATATTGTGTGAAGATGCTGCACCTCGCAGATCCAGCACACACAATTTACTCTAGCACACAGAAACAGAACCACACTTAGATTGATTTATTTGATGCAAGCAGGACGGTCAAAATGCAAGCGTTCTCAAACTGGGGCATAGAAGACCCACAGGGATCCAAAAGCCATAGCATTTTAAAAACAGTGCCTAACCATATCTGGGGACCGGCGTGCCAATAAAACCTAACAAATAATGTTTTCTTCCCTTTGCTTTGGGACAATTAAAAGCGCGACTATGACTGTGATGTTTCACATAAATCTATCATCCCAGCATTCGTCACTTTACTCACGAATGACTTGGCACACAGATTTTCCAGCTACTCAGGACGGATAAGGATTTAAATACACAGTGGCTCTCCTGCTATTCCGAGGAATAGGTACCAGGTCCGACCACAAATAGCAAAAATCTGTGAATAATTGATCGACTTAAAAAAAAAAAAAAATTGGAAAAACAATACAAGTAAGTGGTCGGCCTGGTGGTCCAGAGCAGAGGTACCGGGTTCAATTCCAGCTCCGGCCTCCCTGTGTGGAGTTTGCATGTTCTCCCCGGGCCTGCGTGGGTTTTCTCCGGGTACTCCGGTTTCCTTCCACATTCCAAAAACATGCATGGCAGGCTGATTGGACACTCTAAATTGTCCTTAGGTGTGAGTGTGAGCGTGGATGGTTGTTCGTCTCTGTGTGCCCTGCGATTGGCTGACAACCAGTTCAGGGTGTCCCCCGCCTAGTGCCCGAAGACGGCTGGGATAGGCTCCAGCACTCCCTGCGACCCTTGTGAGGATAAGCGGATCGGAAAATGGATCAACGAATACAAGTAAGCAGGGTATCGGGTAAAAAATAAAAGACAAAAAAAGTGAATAAGCGGGGATCGGACTAACAAAACAAACAAACAAAACAAAAAAATGTAATTAAGTGTGAATGTTAAGCAGGTGATAGGTGCCAAAAAATATACAAATAGGTGAGTTAGCAAATACCGAGCCACTAATCTAGTATGAAAAAAAAAAAGGCTTTTTTTTTTCTCATTTCAAACTGGCGTTGCTTTTAGAGACCTTATTGACAAGTTCAATGGTGAGTTGATCAGAATAGTTGGCGGAGGGGTGATCAGGATGAAATGTGACGACGACGTCCTGGCTTTGTCTTGCGGCAATGCTTCCCTCCACAGGCAGAACACTGAAAACACTAAGCCCATTGTAGTTCTGCGTCCCTGCACATGACACAACATGTTCAACGCATATTTATATTAACTGCTACATCTGCTTGTTCGACTTGATACATAAGGTCGATTGTAAAATACATCGATCATGATTCTCATGATTTGCAGTTGCGAGAATGACATTTCTTTGCTATCAAAAGTAATTGAAGATCGATGTCGAGTGAGTAGTCCAGTTTGCATGCACAAACTTTAGCTTCTTGAACAGTGGATATAAAAAGTCTACTCAGTCCTATCCGAATGCCATGTTTTCTTTCCATCTTTTGTGTAGCCTATAACCTAAACTACTTAATTGTTAAAAAAAGATTTTAGAGAGAAGTAAAATGAAACGGATAGAACTGAGATTAAATTTAGTTGCACAAGTGATCACGCCCTCTTATGACTGCATGTGTGGCTGCGTTCAGAATTAACCAATCATGCAAAACTCATTAAAAGGGAGTCAGCACATCGGTACCTGCCACCATTTAAAACCTCTGATTAACCCCAAATAAAGTTCAGCTATTCAAGTGGACTATTCGATTGTTTTGCTTTCTAGCTGAAAACTGAAGGTTTTGTGCTTACGCTGACTCCTACAGTGGGGTAAAAAAAGGATTTAGTTGGCCACCAATTGCCCCTGTTGTCCCATTTAAAAAGATGCCAGCGGCCTGTAGTACCTCAACTATGCAAGATAAAATCAGGAAAAAAAAAACCAAACCAAACCATCCATCTACTTACCGACCACAGGCTGGATTTTAGAGTCTGTGTAACCACCCAAGAGCAGGGCCACCCTCTCATCAGCACCCTTAGTCTTGGAGGGCGAGAGACTGTACAACATTGCCTTGAAACCCACTGCAACAGCCGAGCTGTTCTGGAGCTGCAAGCGTCGTAAGGCTTGTCATGACAACAAACACAAAACCTGACAGGTAGAGGTATTTGAAGATCGAGACACTTCAATGCAAATTGCAAACTTGAAGGGCACCAACAAAATATGATGGTTTTACCTTCAGGACATATGAGGTGCTCTCCTTCTCCAGCACGTAACCAAAGTCCAAGAGACCTCCAGAATGGGAGGAGGTGATGGCAGGTACCACTCCCTCACCACGCAGGGTCACGGCCAGGGTCATCTTCTGACAACGCACCTCCAAAGTCTCACAGTACTAACGATCAGAGGACCTGATTAGATTTAGCTCAAAATACAATTCATTCCATCGAGTGACAACTGTGCTTGATTCATACGTCAATTACTGTGCAAAGGAAATGACCCAGCAATGAGCAGTTGTAATTTAAAGATGGCACCTTTTTTTCCAATGTAGGACAGAAGGCCAACACCAGAGTGTGTTGCTCTCCGGGTCCTACACCTCTCAGAGAGTTCAGAAGTGAAAAGGGTCCATATATATCCAGCAATGATGACCTCATCTTGCAAACAAGCACAAAATAGTGGCGGTATGTTGGTATTTGATTTGAGTCCCAATGGCAGGAGGAATTAAAGATTGAAGATATTACTGAAAACATGCATACTCAGCCAATAGGCAGGAATTAAAAAAAACAAAACAATTCTTTCAGGGACAGCGGTTCTTACAGTGGACGTGGACAGCTAATCATGTTATCAGGTTACAGGTTATCATTATTGGTGCATGAAAGGGTCATACACTGTAATATTCTGTATACATAAATAACAGCCTGTTAAATATTCATTATTTGATGGTAAAAATAATACCTCTAATGATTCTTCTGAAATGTTTTTGACGGAAAACCTTTTCGTCACCCGCTCACCTAAAAATCAGAGAGGTCAAAATGGAGAAAATTCAAAGCACAACTGGACGAAATATGTTTGGAGGAGTGACACGTGGATGGGAATTGTGTCCTCACTGTACAGGACGGTGCTCACCTACTGCCACTTGCTGGAAATCCAAGGCGTAATTTCTGATATTGCTGGAGACCACCACTAGAGGAGGCTGTATGGCAGGACATTGAAGCTTCAAGTAGACTGTATTGAGAGGACTGTGGAGAGATTCGTTGTCAACATTAAACCTGTACACCCCAAAGGTGTTTTCTGCATTTCATTCACATGTACTTTTTTGGACAATTTAGTCTTCAATTTATCTAATAAAGATGATTTTGTGGGAGGAAGCCTGTACCCAGGGAAATTCCACACAAGCAACCAAACCTTGAAACTCAGAACTGCGAGAGGCAGACATGCTAACAACCACCAGGCCATAGATTAAAATCAGAATCATAAAAATGCTAAAGGGATTCTATGGATCAGGGAGCTCGTTTGGGGGGGCTTTAGGAACCTTTTACAGGTAGTGCCTTTTTTCCAACACCAATTAAACATAACTACCATTTTAACTGAATGCTATGGAAATTATATATATTTTTTTGTTTCAAACGTTCAAACGTTTCAAAGTACATTTTCATGACTTCTTTAATAGAAACAGCTGAACATAATTTAACTGAATCAAATTCATTTTTTATCCATCGTCCCGAGCTGACGTGCACTGCTTTCACAAACAGCAAGGCTGAAAACAGACAGGAACTACTGTAGTTTACAAAAAGCAAACTTAGTGCTTTGCTACGTTCGCAAGCATTTGGCAAACAGTGACGTATGGGCTTTCGTGACTCTCTTGCTATTATTAAGTGACTTTTTCGACGGCTCTGGTAATTATAGGTGTGGTTTGGACATCACTCGGTCTGGAGCCCTTCATTTTAGCCCTACCTCTACACCAAGGGTGGCCAAGTCCGGTCCCCGAGAGATTTATGTCACAATTGAATCGAGGTTTTAACTTGCCCTTTTTAATAATGCTCGCCAACACACGTCAATCCAACAATTATTAATTCTAACAAAAATACCATGTGGTGACTGTACTATATGTGTCTTTTAGGTGCCTTCAAATGTTGAGTAGTTTTACTTTATTTTAGTTTTATTTCATAGTGGTTGACTTTAAATTGGCAGTTAAGAATGTTTCAGCATTACTTGTAAAATGCCTGGGATAAAACGGGATTATCCTTTAGAGTTTTTTTTTTCTTTTTTTACCTCCATGTTGGCTGGGCTTGCCTGTCTTCCTCAGGAGGGTCACCGTCTGACACGAAACAAGGGATAGTGTACTCACTGTAGCGTGAGGTGAAGGAGTGCAACAGAGATGCCCTCGCCTCCTCAAACCTCTGACCTCTAGGAACAAAATTCAGCACAATTAATTTGAAATTAAACACCCAAGATGAAACAGATTCCTTCTGAGCTTCCATTAATGAGTTACAGTCAGTTGAGACTCTTAAGTTGAAGGGCCTTGAAAGTACTTTGACAAAGGAATCAAGTTGTAGATTCCACCATCATTTCAAATATTTGGATGAAATTCCTTTGAGTGCCTGTTAGGAGGTGTTTTGCAAGGCTTTCTTTGCAAACTTCCCTCCCTGCTTGTTTATGAGTCGTGCTGCCTCCAGTTTTGTCTTCGGTAAGTGAATTACAACAAGAAAAAAGCCGCTTGTAATATAGAACCAGATGTCTAAAAAACAAAAAATAAATTTTTTGTAAGCACTTTACAGAGAACAAGAACAAAGGAATGATAACTGGAGAATGAAGGGAATGGCTGATGTTCCAAAGCATACCACATCAGTCAAACTTGGGAGGTAGTGTGCTAGCATGGGCTTGAGTATGAGTAGGCCTGACATTACAACAAACGTGCTACTGTATTGGTTATTGATATGATTGTTGACAAGTTAAAAGATCAATTGTACGGTGAAAGGGCGACACACTAACAAATGATAGGACAGTTCTGTAAGTAAGTAAGTAGGTAAGTAAGTAAGTAGCTAAGTAAGTAAGTCAGGTCTAACACAAGTTAGTTAATAGTTTTGTATCGTGGATAAAAGAAGACCACAAAAATGCCTTGCCTGTTACATTTTCATTTCAGAATGCAACATGAAAAGAATTAGAATGCTGTGGATGGACTCCAGTACTGTGTTTTTAATAAATAAAACCTTGGAAAATAATTCAGTGTTGTTGGATCTTTGACTTTAAATCGAAGTGTGAATTGAGTTAACCCTACCAATCCAACTTGGAACATACTTTGGAAAGTGTAAGATGCCTCTTCTAAAAACAATTTATTCAACATATGCAAGGTTAGATCACACTCTTACCCCGCCTCTATGTTGTCAGGTGGTGGTGTCTCAACTGGGGTTGATGTTTTGGAGGAGAAATCTGACAGTTTACTGCCCTTGGACAATTTCTTCCCTTTGCTGGGCTCCGCGTCCCTTTTAGCCTTTTGAAACATCAGTCATGTAAATACCATCATTGACATGAAAGTGAGGACAATATCAGAGAGGTCTGAGTCGCAGATACAAGAGTGTGAAAGCTGTTCAGATAATGCATGGATGGAAGCGCCACCTCCTCATCAAGGAGCTTTTTAGAGTCCTCCTTGGTCTGCTTGGCTTTGAGAAGGAGACGCAGGGCCTCTTCCTTGATATCCCGGTCTTCCAATTTGGGATGAAATGTGACCAGGACCAAACACCTCTGGAGTGCAGCAACAAGCATGAAGGCAAAAAGTGGTTAATTGTATTGAATTACTACCACTCATAAAAAATAATGGTGGTGAGTCCTTAGTTTTAGAGCAACATTCACAAATCTCTTATAAATTGGAAATCAATAAGTTTGATATGAATCAATAATAGCTCAAATGTGCCACAACTTTACTGAGCGACAATATGATCTTTAAACTGAAGCAAAATGAACTAACAGTAGAATAATACAAAACTGAAATGCATACTTTATGCTGTATGGAAATATATTTTGAACATCCATTTGCAACATTACATGTCTTCATTAGGGAGCTGAGATTCGAAAACTCAGAACGTTGAGGCCTGCCCCTCTTTGCGGGGGGTTGGGGGGTGTGGGGGGGGGGGGGGGGGAGGGGAGAGAACATTCACTTCTGTCAGATTTCCAGCAGAGGGAATACTAACACCATAGTAGAGACATGACCAGTGAGTCAACATCAGATTCGTGTTAAACTGTACTAAATAGAGCATGAGCTGGAAGATCAGTTAGCTGTTTAGATGATCTGTATTAGATTTTATGTGTATTGACATTATATTACATTATTTCGATGGTGTAAAAAAACACAAGGCAAAATATTGGGTGCAACGATAACAAAGGAAAGTAAAAACTTATTCAGTTGGCCTTGACCACACACACACACACACACACACACACACACACACACACACACACACACACAAAAAGTATAAATAGTTTGATTAAAGACATCAATGAAGTGCCCGATAGAGGTCAGCCTGAACTTGGAAGATGTCCTCCTCGTCTCACCTTTCCAGGCAGCAGGCGTCCTGCCGCGGGAGTGATTCTGATGCTGGAGTCTTGAGGTGGGGTGAAGGAAAACAGTCTGGCCCCAGCAGAGGGTCGTTGTTTGGACTGGTTTCGCACGGTTTGGTTATAGGTGAGGTAAAGGAGAGCAGTGGATTGGTCGCCGACTGCCGTGGGTCCAAACTGCACCAGGGAATGGGAGAGCGCCAACGTCGGGCAGACACCCATGGCACGGCAAGCTAGGGGAAAAACTCTTAAGACAAATTTGAATGGCTATAATTTAAGTGTCCTTGAAGTGACAGTCAGTATAAGAGAGGGCTGGAAATTTACCGATTAATTCCGGATTTACAGCTGAGATGGAAACGGTACTCCTTTGCTTTGTTAGCGCTGAAAATCACATCAATTTCCAGTGTTTCTTGCGGGAGAAGAGTACCAAAGCCATCGTTAGGTTGGACGTCGACGAACTGTGGTTTGAGCAAAACATACAGTATACATAATTACCTAAATGTTACAATAAGCAAAGGGTATATCACAACATTTATTCTCTCTATTAGTGCTTTTACAGTGCTGTGAAATAGAATTTGCCCCCTTCCTGATATCTGCGTTCTTTGCACATTTATCACATACAATGGTTTCAGTTCATCAAACCAATTTTAACATCACGCACAGACTACCCAAGGAAATATAAAATGTGGGTTCTAAATGCCAATTTAATGTATTAAAGCACAAAAAAAATCACAAGGTAACTGTGGCGAATAACAGTATTGGGAAAGCTGAGTTCAATTTCACAGGCAAAACCCCAGAACCACAAGTGGTGAATCAAGAAATCACATCAATTAAATCTGCCAGACAAAGTGAAGTAGGTGACAAGAGCTCAAGAAACAAACGTATCATGCCACGATCCGAAGAAATTCAAGAAGAAATTCGAAAAAAACAATTCTTGAAATCTACCAGTCTGGCAAAAGTTACAAAGCCATTTCCAAGACTCTGGCGCTTCTGCAAACCGCTCTCAGAGCCATTATCCACAAATAGATAAAACCGGGGAAAGTAGCTAACATTTCCAGGAGTGGTCGACCAGCTAAAATGACTCGAAGAGTACGATAATGTCATCCGGGAGGTTGCAAAAGAACCTAGAAAAACACCCAAAGAACTCCAGCCCTCGCTGGCCTCAGTTCAGGTCAGTGTTCACGAGTCTATACAGCTATACATTTTCCACAGCAAATAATCACTCTCATGGCACATATGGTTTGCGCATCACTCCGCTCACCTCTGGAAGTCCAACAAAACCAAACTCTTGAGGGAGCAGCGACATGTTGGTCAGGCGTACGCTGCTTTTGACTGACTGGTAAATAGAACAATAGCCAAAGTCCACCTCGCTCTGGCCAAACTTCAAGTCGGACGAAGTCACAATTGCTTGGACTGTGTAAATGACAGGCTGCACCTGAAAACAAGAAGTTTTTTTTTTTTTAATTCAGCTGCAAACGGCAAGATCCAGTATCGAAAGTATTCTATATATTCTGTATATCTTTTTTTTTCTCAACTGCAGAGTGCTCTATTAGTTTTTTATGAGAGTGGAGAGCACCTTGTATAAATAATACATTAAAAACTATTCCAATAAATATGTATTATTCTATATGGTACTACTGTCTCTGTCACTCACAGAAGGTGAGATATCCGCTACATATATTCTTTTTCTGCAAACTACGAGGTTGTACGAACGCTCCTCCCCGCCTTCAGCGTTAACAAATTTACCCCTCAGATCATTTAGGTAATCTGGAGATGACTCTTCTTTTGCTTTTACACTGTGCTGCATACAGGGGCACTTTCTATTTAAACTCCAGCATAAACTTCAACTTCACGGAGGCTACATCTGCTCCACAAGTAGCGTGTGCTCTGGGGAAGGATGCCGAGGAGGCGCCCCACTTGAGGTGTGACATTTAGACATTCAAGTGGACGTCGTCGATTTAAGTGGAGGCAGATCAGTCAGGCAAATCATCCTGGCATGTTGTCATTATCGTGTCTCTCAAGCCTTGGCATATAAATCAAATCTCACCAATCTCAATTTCCATATTATTCTGCAAATATCAGATCTCAAACGCTGGAGGCTATCCTGGATCTTGACCTTAGAACAATGTATGCGCGCTTGTTTGTGTGTGCACATGCTTTAATGCCAGGAGCTCAGGGCTTATCGGCAACACATTTGGTGCTCCACAGGAACATCCTGGCCCTGTCTTTGGCTTGTTGTCAGGGCTTTACCTCCCCTTCCTTGTCCGTGCAGGGACAGGCAATAAGGTCTTGGAGAGGGAGGAACTGGGACGGCGACAATGTGGCAAGAAGACACGACTGGCCTGAGTGCTATAACCATGTTTCAGCAGCTCTGTATTTGAGATTTGAGGCTTCAAATGAGACACACATTCCTTTTCTGAATGCAGAGCAACCTTTATGCTTGGCTTGTTCACACCCATGGAGCAACTGGGCCTTGGGGGTATGAGATAATTTTAGATAATGAGCTAAATAGGTTACAACCTCCAGTGGCTCAGCTTGTGTTCGAGATAAAGATGACAAACAAGTTTCCAGAATCACATGGAGAATGAAAACAGACAGTGTATAATACAGCTAAAGTATATTACAAACCTGCCCTGCAACTTGCACTGTCATTGGAACCTCCAGGACACCAGTAGCACTGTCAAAATACTTGTTAGCATCTTGGGGTAAGGTGTTCCTGGGAGACAAGAAAGTAAATATACTGTCCAAATTTAAAAAAAAAAACCAAAAACCTCATCATCACAACACACAAGACTCTGCATAACTTGCTAAACTTCAGCTCAGTGAGCATGGAAAGAAATTAAATGCTTTTGTGACAACAAGCAACAAAGCACCAGGAAATTTGGTGAAGCATGTGAAGCAACCTCACCCAGCACATGTAATCCAAATTAAGGCCGTGTACACATTTTGTAGTTGAGCTCGTGGGACTAGATAGGACAATCCCTCAGATTGATCAACACTTGATGCTGAGTGTCTTCTGGGAGGTTGACCACAGGGCCAGAACATTTCAATATGGCGACAGTTTGACACTGACAGGGATGGTTGACATTATTTCCGAAGCAAATTTTTTAAAGTAAAGGCAGGGGAGCCATTTGCGGCAGACAGCTTGATTTTATTTTGCCACCAGCATATTGCACAAATAAGATAAAACATGAAGGGCCAGATGATGAGGCACACACTGAAGATGAATAAACTAAAAATAGTAACCTATAACACAATGCTGAGTTGCAGGCCGTTTTTCTTTCATGTATTTATTTAGGAAGGATTGTTGACCTACATTGGATTGTTTTTAGCATTTTTTTTCATGGAAGGGGAATGTTGCCACCGCATTCTTACATTTTTCTGTATGTGGCCTATATTGGAAAATGTTCGGCCACCACCCTGTCGGATTTTGGTTCTACTGTATAATGTTACCATATAATAGTTTTTTTAGTAATGCTATTAAAAAAAAAAGAGTAGAACAAACAGTCAACAATTTAGATCATGTCGATACCGAAAGTCAAAAGCCACAAGCTACCACTGAGCTCTTTCAAAGAAAAGGATTCAGACCCAGAAGACCCATTATTTTACTTTAACCCACAACTGTGGGATCGGCTCGCCAGGGAAAGCAAGGGGGAGAGAGAGAGAGAGAGAGAGAGAGAGAGAGAGAGAGAGAGAGAGAGACACGCAGAGCACGCCTCCACACTGCTGTAGGTTGTAGCCATGGTGATGGCAGACATAAGTATGATTCAAAGAGGCCCACTAGTTAAGCACATGTAAAACTCAAGTCCTTCAATATCCCTCATGGTCAAGAGCTACCGCTTGATTAATGTATAAGTGGTCAAATGTCAAATCAACTTTCAATTATCGATCTATGTACCACCTCGCACATTTTCTTTCATGAAGCCAGTTGCTACAATCCGCCTTCTCTCGTTTTTCACCCGTTTTCTTAATGTCGGATGACGGTTTGCAAGCAAATGCTGCAGACTGTGGTTTGAAGGCTTTCCAGATGTCAGCGGGTTTCTTCCCAAAATGCATGTCACAGAGAAATCAGTCATATTCAGGGTTTGAAGACAAGCGTGTATTTCACATACTAATACAAGAATGTATGGCTGGGAGTATGGAAAAAAAATAACTTCCTAAATTGTCAAAGTGAAATCTCGACATTAACAAAGGGGAGTGATGAAAATGAGTAGCTGTAGCCTAACCGATGAGTGCAGAGGGTGTATTTAAGGAAGCACTCTGGTGCTGCTTGCTAATAGAATCGCTGCTGGAGAGTCACTCTTGAATTAGTTTGGCAGGCCAGAGTGGAAAAGCCTGGCGGGATGTCGCCAGGCCCATATGCTCTGGAGAATTTTGTGGGTGGATGAAGTTTCAGATTTGTCAACGTCCTGCACAGATTGGTGGGTTCTGTTTCCATGCGGCCAGATTATCCACAGCGTCATGCATAAGTACTGTAGTGCTCTACGACAGTCTCGAATGACTTAATGGCTGAAGTCGTGATTTTGTAACGCGGGTTCACTAAATAATCAGTGCTGTATGTACTCCTGTTGGTCAGCGGTCAGTGAACACGTCATTTGTTGGCAAGTGTCTTAGCTCCGTTTCATGCAAGTCATCAGGCAATCTGCTTGAAGCTATTTCTATCAAAATCTCCGTTGTAAAATAAATATGTGCATGTCACTGATAAATTGCCATGCTCATATTGCACGGAGTTACCAGACGTTTTAGTTTACCTTCTTTGGTGCAGGCATCTCGCACACACACACACACACACACACACACACACACACACACACACACACACACACACACACACACACACACACACACACACACACAAAATATGCCTAAGAAGAAGGAAAACATACTGAAGACTCTTTGTGTGATGTCATTCTTGATGATGGTTGGACATAACAGTGTTCTATCACTTTTTGCGAATCATACACAATTTTCTTTTTTTTGGGGGGTGGGTTACATTTCTTTTAAGCAGTTACATTTAGTAGAATAAATGCCAAGCTGCTGATTATAGGTGACGAGCTATCTAATTTTCATGATCTTGGTTTTTGTAAAACAAACGCCGCCAGGACCCCCCCGCCAAAAAAAAAAAAAAAAAAAAACAATTGACATCTTTTGACTGGTCCGTAGTGTTTTGGGCCACATTCAGAGTCAGTGGGCCACTGGGGGCCCACCAACCCCTGCTTTCGAAGTCCCCACCACGTACCATCACGTATGTTTTCACACCCCTTATTTATGCATATAAGTAAAGATGGCAACCCCTCAAAGTGCTATGTATTTATTAGTCTGAGCACGGTTGCCTTTTTAGCTGAGCACTGTGCCTCCCCATGTACAACTAAATGTACCGAACAAACCACGTATATATTTTCTTGATCAACAATTACATCCCACTGCAGCATGGATCCCTGGTTGGATTTTTGCCTTCACTGTTAAAAAGTGATTATAAAAAGGATTACAACATGGATTAAGAGGTTTAGTGATATTCTACTATGTACGGATGAATAAACCAAAGAAAAAAAATACAATGACCTCGCCAAATAACGATAGACGAGAAAGTTTGTTGACTTTTGTTTCCCCCACATAATTAAAAATGGTACTAATGGTGCACACAGCGGCGGGCTCTGCGGTGGCAACGTTGGCTGTGCCGTTGCACGTAATCTGTTGCAAGTCTGCAGGAAATCATCCTTGTAATCTCCCTTTTATCAGATGAAACCGCAGCTGTAGGACACTCTTGCGAGATTAAGCCTAAAACCGCTGATTCAAGCAAGAGGTTACTTTTCGAATGACTCTGCCATCAGGTTAGCCACAGCAGGCACTCAGAATGTGTCTTTGTATCACCAACAATTGGTTAAGTAGTGATAGTTCTCTGCTCAAATGGTCAAAATGTTCAACCATTTTAACAGATCTCTTGGCCACTTGTTCAATTACGGATTTCCTGCTGAGTGAAACCATTACAAATGTTCTTCATTCTGTGTGCATTTAAATGACTTGCATTCCAATAAGATGACCAGGGTCACTAGCAAATTAACCACTGACCTTGATATTATGGAAAGGGGATTATGGACAATGCTATGGATTTACAGTATGGGGTGGAAGGGGGTGGGGGAATGACGCGGGCTGGATGGTGACAAATACAAGTGGAAGAAGAGAGGGATGCAGTGAAGAAAAGCTGGTGGGCAGGCTGAAGTAAGACTGTGGACAGGAAGCAGAGCAAGAACCTGCAGGAACGCTATGAGTCATTCTAGGCTCTTGATTTAACAGCACACTGAACACGTGTGTGCACGTGCCTGCGTGTGTGTGTGTGTGTGTGTGTGTGTGTGTGTGTGTGTGTGTGTGTGTGTGAATAAGACGATGACTGAAAGCAATAAGGGGCAATAAGGGTTTAGAAATTCAAACATGCCGATGGGTAGGAAACCATGGCAGTTTAATTTTGAAATGAATGATCACAAAAGCAACCTTCCAAAATATGCACAGAAGCATGCCAGAGACGAGACATGCTGGTATACTGTCAACGCTAGACTTTTTTTCCTCGCCATAATGTGTGCTGTGTGACCTATCGTGGGGTCTGGGGCGGGACTGATGGTGCACATGCTGCACATCATGGCTGTCTCTGACTGAACATGTCCTGTAATTGACTGGTGACAAGTCAATAGTGAAGTAGGCCTTCCACCTGAAGTAATCTGGGATAGGCTCCAGCTCCTGTGACCACACCCTAAGCGGGTGCATGAGCTTGGTGTCTGCAGATTGCCATGAAAATACAGATTATTATAATGGCCTGACCAGTGTGAGTGCAGTTATGTGTAGGTCCATAAGTATTTGGACAATGACTGAAGTAACAAGATGAAAGACTGACAACGACTCAAAACATGCTGCCAAAGCAACTGATTTTTTTCCCCGCCAAAAGCAAAAACAAGGAATATTTTTCAATGACCAAATCAGTGGCCAAATCAAAAGGGAACTGAGCATTTCTTTCACTTGTGAACAGCAAGACACACAAATAAGCAGCAACTCAATTCTGCTGCAGTGCCGGAATAGCAAAAACATCTGGTGATGTCCCTGGTTACTGCTTGCAAATTATTTTGCTGTATTAAAAATGATTGGATTTAACCCTTTCTTGCACCCTGTAACCTGATAACATGATAAGCTGTCCGCTGTCCCTGATAAAAACCCCACCTCATGTTATTATACAAAAATTTCTGGAGCAAAGTCTGTATTTTCTTTTTTGTCATAAACAGTGGTCGAAACAATGGGACTTTTTGTCAATAAAAAAAGAACAGATTTGACAGAGGGGTGTAAAAGCTGCGAGGAAGAGCTATTGTCAAGAAGAAGAAAAACAAATTAAGGGGTGGGGGAAGAAAGAATTGTTAGCACAGTGGTGCAAGGCTAAGAAAATACAAGTCTGTGTCAGAGAGTGGGAGAAGCCAAAGCCAGCAGTTTAGAAGCAAATAGAGGATAGCGGCAGCACGTCGGGGGTGGAGGCTGATGCTTGTGCTCGGCTTCGCGGATGCGGCACCAGCAGCACGACTCACACTCTAATCCTCACATTAAAACCTCTACTGATTCACTCAAGCAGATTACTGCCATTTTCCCCACTTTCCCCTCCCATCTCGCTGCTCTGGGAGAACCCCGAACTTTGCCATTTTGAGTATAATTTGGCATGTTTTCATCATAATCTGTAACGTTTTAGCTATCATTACATTAAGGATGCTAAGATATGAAGGAAAAGTGGGCGGAAGAAGAAAACCAGCGCCCACGTAGTGCATGCATCTCGTGTTTGCCCTCAAGTTCTCCTGGTTGACCCCCTGGCATTCACTACTGCACTAAAATCTTTTGTGTGTGTGTGTGTGTGTGTGTATGTGTGTGTGTGTGTGTGTGTGTGATTAGTCGTACAGAGTGCGCTTTTGATGTATGAGCTTCTCTGAAATCACAGCCGACTGAGACTGGGGTACAAAGCCTGTGCAAGTTCTTTCCTTTAAATATTCACAGAAGGTTAATATTAACAGGCCAAGAGTAAAAAAATAATTGTGACTGCTCCAGTGATTCGATTATAGCTGCATCTTTTGCATGTGTTCTATACCTTGGCACAAACTTGAGGTGAGCGGTGAAACTTGACTGAGCCTGGAGAAAGCCCGTCCTCGGTATGATCTCGATGTGCTTCCTCATCTCCGGCCACAGGTCAAAAGTAAGCTTCAAGGCTGTGCTGGTGCTGACAGAGAAAACGTGGAAGATTAATATAAGATAGAAAACTGAAAAGTTATGCATTACATATGCGTTGTATGTGATATTCAAGAAAAAAAAAAGACATCTCGGCAGTTTACATGATCACTAAATTATTTTAAGGTAAATTATGATTTATGCACCAGTTATAGAGATGGCAAATAGAGCTCATGATCCAAAGCATACCACATCACATGTCAAACATGTTGGGAGTGTTATGAAATGGACATGCATGTCTGTTAATGGACAGATTCACTGGTGTTTATTGAAGGTATGTCCACTATTTCTGCTATTATGATTATCATTATTATTTAGCCACAAGGTTAGAGTGAGACAGCAGTAATACAATGCAGTCAGACATGCAGACAGAGTGAATGGAAACTGTGATGTTGTATAAAATGCACTGTCACACACGGTTATGAAATTATATTGTTTGAATATTACAAAAAAATAATTAATAATGCCTTACAGAATTGTGTTACAACAAAGAGGAATACTTGCTGTAATTGCATGACTTTTACTCCCAACACTGCGTACAATGCAGTAAAGAAGCCAACATATTTTTTGAGATGCCAGACTTCATTTTGTTTAAAGTTTGTGTGCTGGACAAGTAACCTTTAAGGCAAACTGAACTTCGGTTTGGTAGACTCCTACACACAGCTCATACACTTACACTGCAGATATGGTTTACCTGGTGGCATTCCGATGTATTTTTTTTTTTTTTTAACAACAGGCACAAAAACACATTCAGTAGATTTAAGGTGCTTTGGCCAATGGAACTGAATGTCAAATCTCTTTTCATGTACGAGGAGGGGGTGAAAACCTTTCGGGTGTACATCTCAGTATGAGGCAAGTTTCCTTTCAGTTTCTTTTTCTTTTTTTTTTTTTTTTTTTTTTTTTTTTGATGAATGTGTCTCCAGCAGAAATTACCTGATAATGAGACGTGCACTGTAGGTCCATATCAATTAGGTTACCTAGTTTTCAGAAGTTCCAACAGATGGTTATGCCTGTGGCTACAAGCCCCAGTGAGAGCTTGTGATATAAATGGCTTTCCATCTTGGGAATTTTCAAACCCATGCAGCCCCCTGGTCACATGCAACCCCCCCCCCCCCCCCAAAAAAAAACATCATTCATTAGACGAACTATGGCCCTTTAGAGCAAAGGGGTTCTTGTCATGACAGCTGCCCACACAAAATGGCCCACATCTCGAAAGAGGACTCTCAGTGCAAACACTTGAGGAATATTACATTTCCCTCACCTATCATTCCTGGAGCAAAATTCCAATGGTCACGTTCAAAGGTGCCAACAACAGTATTCATGCGGCTGCATATTCAATTCATGATTCTATGATTACTTTACAGCTGATGTCCGACAACATATTTGTGTCAAGATTTGAAGTAAATATAAAATTGTTTCACACTGGAAACTGTACTCAAAATCCTCCACACTGGAAACTGTACTCAAAATCCTTATGTACTAATGTTCTATCCCCATCAGATACAAATTACCGTATTTTCCGCACTCTAAGGCGCTACGGAGTATAAGGTGCATCGTCAGTGAGTGCCGTATTTTAAAACTGTTTTCATATATAGGGCGCACCGCATTATAAGAATAGAAGCTACAATAGTGGCTGTGGTTGCCTCATGCATCCACTAGATGGAGCTATGCTAAAGGGACTACAATATAATGACGCTTTATTTACACAGAGCTTTCACAACCGCTGCAGCTACAACAAAGCACTTTACAGAACATTTAAAATACTATGTACAAGAAATCAGAATATTGATCCATATGTAAAATGCTTTGGATTATAAGGTGCACTGTCAGCTTTTGAGAAAATTGAAAGCTTTTAGGTGTATTTTATAGTGCGGAAAGTACGGTAATAGTAAGTGACAATATGACAACCGTTTATCTGAATTTGTTTTTTTTTTTATTTTAATGTCCTATTGCAGAAGTGTCAAAACGATGGCCTTCTGCATATATGTACAAAACATAACATTTGACACGGCCTGCTACATTATCTGGTGTGGGTCTTGAACAAGGTCAGGGGTTGCGAGAACTGCATCCATGGAAATGATGAGAAAGGAATCAAAGAACATTTTGTCTTTTATCGACCAGTAATTCACTGGCAAGTAACGCATGGCCATGCTGCAATGATGTCAAAGTGGTATTTGACCCCATATCATCAACACATCTGCTGAGGAAAATTCTCACTAAATGAGGCAAATCATACCAGCTGGTGAAATTGTGGCTATACCCATGCTCATTACAGCTACCTAGTGGGACCAAATGTTATACTGTATTTTCCTGAGGGGGTTGGGGGGGGGGCATATTTGTTTGTGTGGACGACATACTGCAGTAAGTAATTGCAGTACAGCATCTATTAAGCCGCTATTAGAAATTATTCATGAACAGTTCTGCGTGATATTTACTTGTCATCTCAACAGACATGATGGCAAATGTTGAGATACCAGCAGACAGCTCTGCCCACTCTCCCAAAAACTGTCAAGCCATTTTATTTCAGCCAAACTGCTAGAATTTGAGTGACATATTTCATGGCTTGCTTTGAGATCTGCAGTCCATAGTGAGGGTGTTGTCATTGTTGTGGTTGTCACGTCATACCAGATGGCACTTATCATAAAACAATCCCCAGTGCACACATGTGCTTATTCCCCCCACATGAGGTGTCACAATGACTGTATAGGAGCAGTGGACCACACGCCTACTCATACCATTCCTGCTGTGCTCCTAATCCGTCTCATATATAATCTATGATATTAGTTGAAGTTAAAGCATTTCTAATTAATGACATGTTATTTGTCTAGACAATTCTTCAATTTGAGAGTCAACATTATTTTATGTTGGTCTGTTGGAAAAGGAAGCTTGCTTTATCCCTATCATAGTCAATCAATCCATCCACAGGCGACTTTTGTGCGAGAGGTGGGGTATACCCTGAACTAGTCGCCAGCCAATTGCACGGCACAAATAGATAAACAACCATTCACAGATAACCAGGGACGTACTCGGACCAAAATTCGGTCCGGGAATGTTCCTCCTCATGTTGGTGGGGGTTTATAACTTTGGGGAACCGGCCTGATGCGTGACAATTTCACCCGGGAATGGACCGTGTGTTCAGGAATCTCACGAAATTCCCAATGACCACCATCTTAATCATAATGTAATAAATAGTTTTAGCTTTCTAATGTGCTCATATATGCACTATTTATAATAAACACAGCAAAGGGTTGCGATAAGGATTGACCAGAGTTTATGCAGGACAAAAGCAAGTCACAGATTATTCCTTTTCATTTCACCAAAAGAACAAATAATTAGCTAAATTAATGACATTCTGGCAGAGGGTGTCTGTAAATGTCAGCAGAGATGACTAAAAATGACACGGTGCTGCAATAATTACCTTGACATATATGCATGTGCTCCCTTTTAAACCAAGGTAATGTCGGACTAAATTAATATTTACATGTATCTGGACTATAAATCAATAAGACAACAAGACAATCTGTTATATTCCTGAAGCATACTTTCTGTTTGATGCATTTATGGCTTGAGCTACAGCTCTTGTGTCGGTTGAACATTAATGAGACATTACAAGATAGAAAATGTTTCATTCTCTTTCTGAATCGCAATTTGCTTGAAGCTTCTCTTTTGATTATTGATCATGAACATATGACACTATTCTGGGAGTAAAGTTCAGGACTCTACGACTGTATAGCCACTAGTGAGGCATATACGCTTTGCTATATAAGTAGAATTTGAGACTGAAGTGCCACAAAACTGTGAGGATGTACCTGCTTTGGAGTGTGACAACCTCTTGATAAAGGCGGTCAAACATGCAGATCTTCATGTCAATATTAGGCTCCACTACCCACACTGGGAGGCCTGCTCCCTCACCTTTCACCAGGATGGCTATCTGTTAAAGCCAGCGTGTGTTCGGTTACCATTTTGAACAAAACACGTACCATACTATACCGGATTCTGATAAGCATTTTTTCTCTTACAGGGCAGCTGGTCGGATCCGAAAATTTGATGTAGAGGTCCAATTTGACTTCCCCGGGAACAGTTGGAGAGAATATTATCTCTAGTTTGACACTTTCAAAAGGTCCAATATCCCCTTCTCTTACCTGAAAAAAAAAAAAACATGTAACCATGGTAATGTAACTTAAAATAGAACACACAATGATGAATGCAGGACAGTTTCACCATTTTACCTTTGGAAACAGAACTTTATCCACCATTACCATAGCCACCAAAAATCACTCAGCTGAGCAACTCAAAATGACACCAAGACAACAGCAACAAAGCATAAAGGTGATGAAAAAAAAAGACAAATGAAACAGAGATGTGAGCTATTCGCGCCACAATCGAGCCAGTCCTGTCGGGCCAGGATAGTGTGATATATTATCTGCCGTTACAGTATACAGCTCAGTCTTCAAACCAGGCCATGTACAAGTATCAGTCAAGATGACAATGACGGAGGGGCTGGCATGCAAGCACATGCAGTAATGCTCAGCCATAACAAGCGCAGAGTGACAGGTGATGCACCATGAGAACGTCACAGAGGTTACAAGGTACACAAGTGCTAAAAGCAAGACTTGGACAGGATCAGGAGGATCATCAAGTAGTCCAACAGGGATGATCCCTCAGTGACTAACAGACTATTCAACAATCAAATATTAAAGTGAAGGTCAATTAACAAGGCAGCGCAACTCTCTGATCTAAAATCCATACAGAACGTTATTAATTGTGAAATATAGTGTTGACAAGCTCATTGGCATCAAAACCGAAGGATTTTCAACTCAGGGTCATTTATACTTGTCTTGACTCCTGCAGAGGCACCGTGGGCTCAATTCCATCTCTGTGTCGATTTAAGAAGGAACGTATTGAATGGCATTTAATGACACGTGTACACGGCAACATACGTAGTTAAAATCTGCTCAAATCCATAGAGCACTTGACTTTTGTTGTAAAGAAGATGTCACAGTCATACCAGTTTTTTTCTTTTTAATGAAAATGCTTTTGTACGTGAATCAGAGTAGGTAGTTTGAATTTCAATTATGAGAGCATCTACTCCACACACAAAACGATCCTGGGTTGAATCTCGGCTCGGGCCTTTCTGTTGGGAGTTTGTGTCTTCTTCCCAAGACTCAAAATTCTCCATAGCGCATGTGTATGGTTTTATATCTCTATTTGATGGACCCATGATTAGTCAATCTTTTGGCTAAAATTGGCTAGGATATGCATTCAGCTCCCCGAAACCCAGAAAAGAAGATGCACTTCAGAAAATGGATAGATCATTTAATGTACCGTAATTCTTCTCATGTGTCCCATTTACTCCATTTACTGCCTCTAATTTTAATCATCCCAATCGGAATTCTCTTTAGACCATGTGGTCATTTGCATAAGGACATACAAACAAATGTTAATGACAATACTTTTTACTGTTTCGAGCTTCCCATTAACAACCATCCATTTTCCACAGTGCTTGTTCTCATTTGGGTCGCGGAAAAGTTGGAGCCAATCACAGGTGATTTTGAGTGAGAGCGCGAGTACACCAACGACTGGTTGCCAGCCAATCGCAAGGCTATTTACAAACCTAACATGACCTGCATAAGAAAATAATTTAACCCATACACCACCACTGACATACATAATCCACTTATTATACTTACGTTCCCAATGCGTATGTCACATGTGTCAGACAGGGCCTCAGGGATCTGGGAATGCATGCTGGAAGACACAGAAGCAGCTCTTGGATCTGGAGTTGAAACCCGTGATTCTGCCGACACATACAGTAAGGTTACCAATTTTCTTTTCTTGGGAGTACTAAATCTATAGAACTATCAATATGTTAGAGTGGTTTTCCAACAAAAATGCATGCATGTGATGTGTGTGTCACATTTCCCTGTAGAAAAATGATAATCTACAGAAAATTATCATGATAATCACTTGTTGGTTTGTGCATCCAATTTACCTCGTTGACATTTCCGGGATACAGTCGACCTGTCCGAAATATGATCCATACTGTGTACTTCTCTGGTGGATGCCGTGCTCTGGGTTTGATCAGTGTTGAGCGTGGATGTGTCCTGTCGGCCATCAGCACCAGCAAATTCATTAGTTTTACATTGATTGTTTTTAAAATTAATTTATTTGCACTTTCTAACTGATTTCAGAACAATTTGCTTCTTTTGCAACACAAATGAAATGAAATATCAGATTTCACTGTCCGACCTTCTGTGTGTCGGCCGAGCGATGGGATGGCATCTGGACCTGGTGAATTTCTGGAACAGGCTTTGTAGTATCCAGGCTAAAGCGAGTTGCGAGGGCGCCCTTGTTGGTCAAGGTGATAGTCCGTGAAATAGTTTGGCCCACTACATGCGAACCAAAGTCAATGAACTGGTTGTCGACCTCCAACTAGAAACAAAAGTGAAAAGCACCGATCTGTCAGAATACAACTTGGAGCACAGTATAGCATAGCATAGCTAAGCTAACCCTACATCGGCAGTATCATTCCTACTGCTGTGCCAAAGTTGTTCAAAATTAGATTTTAAAACGTAGTTACGTTGAACATCATCTTTTATGTGTGAGACAAATGAGAAAGTGTGTAGCATAAATATGTATTGTATTTTTTAATGATTTCTTTTTGTTTTACAGGCATGATGACTGAGAAACAGACAATTCAAAGTTAGCACTCAGAAGCAACAGCCAGCCTCTGGGGGTCTTGACCCGGCACACTACTTACATCACATCTCTTGATGGTGCACCTGACAGGCACAGAGAAGCGACCTGCTGCTGAGGCAAAGTCAACCTCTCCTTCCAGGTCTTCATTGATCTATAGGGGGTCAGAGAGCGAGACGGTGTTGCTTTTGGACATGACACAGCTCTGAATCGAAAAGAATAGGGTTATTGTGAATAAGTCATACATCACGCATGGCGTTATACTGTTGTCAATTTTAAATCAATAAATTAACAAACAAACAAAAAGTATAATGACTGTTACTGACCGAAGGATGGAAAGTAATGTGCATTTCACAGGACATCCCAGTCGATAAAGGACCAGGAGGTTGAAAGCTGTATAATAATATTAAAGTTAGTCAACAATGAAGAGTTTCCTCATTTATAAATGAAAAAACATTTAAAGCATGATTTTCAGTGGGTTTTCAAATCAAAAGAACAGAAGCCAAAATATCTCATATGCAATGGATCTTCTGAGAATATTTAGTGTCTGTGAGCTTAACTCAGAGCGGAGGTTATAAGTCAACCCGCTTCTCAGTTTGTGCTGCACAGAGAAAAAAAATAGTAAAGTATTGTTGTTATTTTTATACATTGTAGATCAAACAACATATGAGATAAGGAAGGAAGCAAAAGGTGCAGTAGGCAACATATACATTTCTTAGCACATTTACAGCAAACTGACAGCTGCCCGAAGAACACCGAAACGTTTTACACCCTCAAACATAGCAAGGATCAATATGAAAATAAAAGATTTGCCTGCCGAGAGAGATGGCAGGATTCTAACTCCAATTATTTAGAATTGCAAGTATAATAAGCAAAGGGTACACATTATAATGGATGCTAAGCCATTACACTTATCTGGTTGTGTTTTTATTCTGCGAAAAATAACTGATTCTCTCTCTCTCTCTCTCTCTCTCTCTGTCTGTTTCTGTGTGTCTCCCCCCCACCCCCCTCAGGCTGTCTCGTTGTGGAAAGGCTTCTATATTGTTTGTCAAGTTTAATGAAAATGTGAATAAGCAGCATGGTTCGTATGCAACACCTGTTCTCAACTTTGGCAGGATGGCTGCCAACTTAGTTGGCTCAAGCAAATGGGAGAAATAGCCGTGACAGACATAAGGGTACAATGTTGGGAGTAATACGCAAAAAAAGAAAGAAAAAGAAAAACCCAAGAAAAAAAAGAGTTTGTTTTTTTTATGTAATGTAATGTAACATAGGCCAACTATTATTATTATTATTATTATTATTATTATTATTATTTTTATTATTGTTACTGTTATTATTAGCATTTATTGTTGTTGCACCTATGTTGTCATTGTATTAAGTAGGTATTGGGCATACTATAAATTATCACAGGTGTTTTGGTTAAAGTAGCTCTAAACTTGAAGTAGTGTAATGCATTACAGACAGCAATGCGGTAATAATAATTAATTATGTTCAAATGACAGTAACAACTTAATATGTATGATATTCAGTTTGTTAGTAACTTGCCCAACACTGTAGCTAATACAACATCTATTTTTTAAAAATCAATTTCCTGCTATTTATTTATTATTATTATTTTTATTTTTATCTGAGGGATTGAGTGCTAGTGTGCGCAAGATACTTGGTGATGCCCTTCAGCCAATGAGAAACATAACTCCGTTAATGAGCCACATGTGAGTTAAGAGAACAGTGCAAGGGCTTATATGTCCAGACGATGTTTACAGAAGATCATTTGTAGCTTGGCAGATCCTGTGCAATGAGGCAAAAAGAAATCAAATCAACATTTGGGGGGGTGTACGCTGATTGGAAAGTCACAAGCAGTGTGAATCCTGGTGAAGAATGCATTCCTGGTGCACCCTAACAGGCTGTGAGTGTGAAGTAGACTTGACTCACAGCAGTTGAGGGGCTTTAAGCGTCGTGACGCGCGCTGCTGTCCATACGTGGGAGGACAGGCTTACCTCGCATGTCCGCCGTGTTGTTAAAATGACAAGTGCTTGTGGAAATAGTGGTACATAAGCAGATGTTTCCAGGTAATAATCAACACTCTTGGGGCCAAAGAGATGTTTGGAAGATGCTTTGACTACATTGCATTGACTTATGGGAAGTAGTTTGGAGCAAGTCTGCAGAGCTAAGCATTAAAATATTTGGAAGCCAGAATGTTCAATTGATCTTCAATTGTGCCTGTGGACCTAAAGTTATTCCTTGTGGGGTCGTATAATTTGTAAATCGAACACAATCCTGAGGACCAAATACAAAATGAAGCATGCAATGTGAGCGATGCATCAAATGTCTTCAATACGCCAAAATCATTTAAAAAAACCCCAAAAAACAAAACCTAAAAAGTTAACAGTTGTACAACAGTGAATAATGTCAAATGTTATTTAAAATCTTGAAGTTATTAAGGGTTTTAATGGCAGCCATGGAATGGACAACTGTATTTCATCAGATTTCACTGTCCGACCTTCTGTGTGTCGGCCGAGCGATGGGATGGCATCTGGACCTGGTGAATTTCTGGAACAGGCTTTGTAGTATCCAGGCTAAAGCGAGTTGCGAGGGCGCCCTTGTTGGTCAAGGTGATAGTCCGTGAAATAGTTTGGCCCACTACATGCGAACCAAAGTCAATGAACTGGTTGTCGACCTCCAACTAGAAACAAAAGTGAAAAGCACCGATCTGTCAGAATACAACTTGGAGCACAGTATAGCATAGCATAGCTAAGCTAACCCTACATCGGCAGTATCATTCCTACTGCTGTGCCAAAGTTGTTCAAAATTAGATTTTAAAACGTAGTTACGTTGAACATCATCTTTTATGTGTGAGACAAATGAGAAAGTGTGTAGCATAAATATGTATTGTATTTTTTAATGATTTCTTTTTGTTTTACAGGCATGATGACTGAGAAACAGACAATTCAAAGTTAGCACTCAGAAGCAACAGCCAGCCTCTGGGGGTCTTGACCCGGCACACTACTTACATCACATCTCTTGATGGTGCACCTGACAGGCACAGAGAAGCGACCTGCTGCTGAGGCAAAGTCAACCTCTCCTTCCAGGTCTTCATTGATCTATAGGGGGTCAGAGAGCGAGACGGTGTTGCTTTTGGACATGACACAGCTCTGAATCGAAAAGAATAGGGTTATTGTGAATAAGTCATACATCACGCATGGCGTTATACTGTTGTCAATTTTAAATCAATAAATTAACAAACAAACAAAAAGTATAATGACTGTTACTGACCGAAGGATGGAAAGTAATGTGCATTTCACAGGACATCCCAGTCGATAAAGGACCAGGAGGTTGAAAGCTGTATAATAATATTAAAGTTAGTCAACAATGAAGAGTTTCCTCATTTATAAATGAAAAAACATTTAAAGCATGATTTTCAGTGGGTTTTCAAATCAAAAGAACAGAAGCCAAAATATCTCATATGCAATGGATCTTCTGAGAATATTTAGTGTCTGTGAGCTTAACTCAGAGCGGAGGTTATAAGTCAACCCGCTTCTCAGTTTGTGCTGCACAGAGAAAAAAAATAGTAAAGTATTGTTGTTATTTTTATACATTGTAGATCAAACAACATATGAGATAAGGAAGGAAGCAAAAGGTGCAGTAGGCAACATATACATTTCTTAGCACATTTACAGCAAACTGACAGCTGCCCGAAGAACACCGAAACGTTTTACACCCTCAAACATAGCAAGGATCAATATGAAAATAAAAGATTTGCCTGCCGAGAGAGATGGCAGGATTCTAACTCCAATTATTTAGAATTGCAAGTATAATAAGCAAAGGGTACACATTATAATGGATGCTAAGCCATTACACTTATCTGGTTGTGTTTTTATTCTGCGAAAAATAACTGATTGCATTCATTTTTCAGCTGATTTTCATTTTTTTGCAGACTATGAGAAACGAACAAAGAGGCTTGATTTAAGCCTTTTTGATGTTGCTGGCCCAATTGTAGGGTGAGGAACTTGGAGCTGCCATCCAGTTTACCACTGTGACCTGAAAGTGTATGAAAGTATTCCACCTGGCGGAAGCACTATGATGCTAACTTGAAATGACACAGTTTCATCAGAATTTTTCTCTCTCATTGTCTATTTGGACAATTCTCATCTTTCGAGTGTCATTCTTCTGTTCTAGTTCCAAGACATGGAGGCATACAAAGTAAAATAGAACAGTTCACTAGGGATTAAACGCTGAATGATACAAAGTTGGAAAAAGCCTATGACAGCGCTATATAAAGCGCTGCAAATGAGGCCATACAGCTATGATGCTAACTTGAAATGACACAGTTTCATCAGAATTTTTCTCTCTCATTGTCTATTTGGACAATTCTCATCTTTCGAGTGTCATTCTTCTGTTCTAGTTCCAAGACATGGAGGCATACAAAGTAAAATAGAACAGTTCACTAGGGATTAAACGCTGAATGATACAAAGTTGGAAAAAGCCTATGACAGCGCTATATAAAGCGCTGCAAATGAGGCCATACAGCAGAGCATCAACATTGCAAAAGTAAGATGTTAGCGGTTTCACGTGTCTCTCAGCAGTGCAGGAGCAGGTAGGAGATAACAGGTGACAGTCAGCGGTTTTTAAATATATTATTGTCGCCGTATTTATGTTGCATTCAATAAAGATTTTCATTTTAGCGCTTTAATCATGATCTGGGACATCTGACTCAATTTTCCTTTTCATTTTTGAGCAGTGTATAAACTACACATCAAACAGTGTTTTAAAATTAAAATTCAATTATTTAAATTATTTTAAATGGACTGAGCTTGTCTTCACACTAACATTTTTGGTGATTCTTTGAAACTAAAATGACCGAACTAGAGGGCCTTTTAAATGTCTCTTGGCTGGAAAAGAGGAATGACTGTTTGATAACCTAAAATTCTATAAGATATGAACTGATTGAGTTTTTAAAATCGTCAAGTACAATACTGTGTTTGTGGCATATGAATTAAAACAAACAAACAAACATACAAAAAGAACACATTTTTATCCATCTCAGGGGGCGGCCATTTTAACACTTGCTGTCGATTGAAAATGACATCAGGGTAGCTCAACTTCTGACAAGTTAATCCGGATCTATATAAAATGAAAACAAAACAGACTCATTGCATCCTACACCCTCTTGAACTGAGCTGCACCATATCGAATCAAATTGTCATCGAATCCTGCCATTTTTAAATCAAGCCATCCTTGACTCATATCGTACCTAATGCATCAAGACACGTATCGAATCATCGAATTGTCTTTTATTAGTCTAGGTTTGTAACATTTCCAGTAGTAAAAACTCAAAGACGAGCCAATCCTGGCATGGTGGCACAAACGCACCCACGCTGGCCAATGAGTGGGGTGCAGTTGGTTAATTTTTAGAAACTCTGGGGGTGTACAGGGAGCATGGGCGGGTTGGTCTCTCTCTCTCTCTCTCTCTCTCTCTCCTCC